TACTAAAAACCTATTTTTACCCATGTGGATTTAAGTTAAGTATAAATTAGAGTGTTAACTCGGTGCTGAGATGACGCTGAGTAGCTCGGTTGAGCGTTCAAGGGAGTGCCTGGCCAACCTGAGTCTGCAAAGTAAAAAAGACAGGTTAAGCACAGATCGTTGGACTATGCTGAAAGAAATAAAGGCAAAATAAATGAAGTCCTAGCTCAGCTACATGGGATACTATCATTCTTAGCTTGGTTTGAGCGAGGGACTTTAGCCCGGTTGAAGCTATTGGGGCAGCAGTCTTAGTTCGGTTTGGACTAAGGGAGCTGGTTAGCCCCAAGTTATAGCTCGGTCGGCGGTTGAGGCTTTCTAGAGCATTATTGCGCAAACCTAAGGCAGTTCACTAGCTCGGCTAAGTAAAGCACAAGGTATTTAGACTTATTGGAACTACAAGTATGACATGAAGTGTTAGTTCGGTTGTTTAGTTTGGCTAGGTTCGCACCTAATACAAACAACTTCCTAGTTCGGTTGGAGTGTGATTTTGGATCAAATACATCGTTTTTCAGATTATTCATGAGTACAAGTGGTTCTATTACATGGTTTTTCCCAGAAAAGTGGAAGCAAACATGGTATATATTTTGAAAAACATATGAATAATATGCTTTGTATTGTAAAAACAAGTACGAAAAAAATGGAAAAGAAACAAATTTGAGAGCCACATACCAGTCAAAAATGAAGGAGTTGAAGATAAAATTAATCCCAATCGAGCTTTTGCAGATGGAGTATTGAGGAAAATGAAAAACTCAGAAAGTAGAGAGAGAAGAAGGTGAATAGTATTGCATTTGAAGAGTAGGGTTTTTGTGAAGAATTCGAGTTTAGGTGGGACTGTTCAAATGTTGCGAAGTACGAAGAATGCCGTGACAGCTATGCTGGGCCAATGAGAGTTTGCCACGTGCCCTTAGAATGGGAAGCGATTCAGTTACAGCGACTGAATAGAGGTTTTAACCGAACAGGTTGGTAGCACAGTGTGAATTTAGCTCGGTTGAAAGGCTAAAGGTTTTAGCTTGGTAGGTAGACAGGTAATCCCTACCATGCTACGCAGATGGAATTAAGGGGCAATTGAGAGGGTAATTTATGTCTAAATTGGGCCGAGCTAAGTAGGAGACTTCTTTGGTAATTGGGCTGCAAGATGGACCTAGGTAAAAATAGATTTACTTCGGTCCAAAAGACTAAGCGGTTGTGGGCCGAGCTAGCTAGGCACTGTGCTTGGGAGAGCCGAGCTAGCTTGGCACTGTGTATTGGAGCATCGAGCTAACCCCTACCTCGTACTTGGTTAGCTTGGTATTAAGTAAATAGCCTAGTTGGAGCATGTCAAACCGAGGTACACGCAATGAAAGGAAGAACCGAGCTAGTTGGAGCTCGGTTTAGTTTGCGGCTTTAGCATGGTCATGTTAGCTCGGTCGTATTGACATCCAACCATGGTAAAACCATCTCACTTGGTTTAAGCAGTGAGGGGGTGTTGAAAGATAAGCATTATCTTTAAGCAAACATGGTATATATTTTGAAAAACATATGAATAATATGCTTTGTATTGTAAAAACAAGTACGAAATAAATGGAAAGGAAACAAATTTGAGAGCCACATACCAGTCAAGAATGAAGGAGCTGAAGATGAAATCAGTCCCAATCGAGCTTTTGCAGATGGAGTATTGAGGAAAATGAAAAACTCAGAAAGTAGAGAGAGAAGAAGATGAATAGTGTTACGTTTGAAGAGTAGGGTTTTTGTGAAGAATTTGAGTTTAGGTGGGACTGTTCAAATGTTGCGAAGTACGAAGAATGCCGTGACAGCTATGCTGGGCCAATGAGAGTTTGCCACGTGCCCTTAGAATGGGAAGCGATTCAGTTACAGCGACTGAATAGAGGTTTTAACCGAACAGGTTGGTAGCACAGTGTGAATTTAGCTCGGTTGAAAGGCTAAAGGTTTTAGCTTGGTAGGTAGACAGGTAATCCCTACCATGCTACGCAGATGGAATTAAGGGGCAATTGAGAGGGTAATTTATATGTAAATTGGGTCGAGCTGGGTAATGGGCCATTCTGTGGGCCACAGTAAGGACTGAGTAAAAGGGCCTTCAAGTTAGCCCGGTCCAAAAGAGCTATGTAGTTAGCTCAATCGGCATGGTCAGAGCGGGACAGTTAGCTCGGTCAAACCAAACTAAGTCGAGGTATCGTGGGCCTTTTCTCAGGACCTTGCTGTTGAATAGCTCGGACTAGGCACGCTATGGATAGCATGGTTTCAACAGGTAATCGAGGTACAACTGCACGAGAACTTAGCTAGCTTGGCGTTGTGCATTAGAACACCAAGCTTGGTTAGCTCGGTATTAAATGAATAGTCCAATTGGAGTATGTCAAACCGAGGCACATGCAGTGAAAGGAAGAACCGAGCTAGTTGGAGCTCGGTCTAGTCTGCGGCTTTAGCATGGTCATGTTAGCTCGGTCGTATTGACATCCAACCATGGTAAAACCATCTCACTTGGTTTAAGCAGTAAGGGGGTGTTGAAAGATAAGCATTATCTTTTAGGAATATGATTCCTAGGAGGACTCTACATGGAGGAGTAAGAGTCCTACTAAGATTATGCCACACGGAACCTATAAAAGCTCACAACATCACCTATGGAGAGATAACACAACTTTGATTCCTGAATACACAGAGCTTTTGTCTATTTGTTTATTTTGCTGACTTAGGCATCGGAGAGGTATCCGCACACACCCGCCGACTAGCTCACGTTTGTATTTTCAGGGAGTAAAACAACGACGTATGAAGGAACACATACTTAATTAACAGAATTATACGAGAAAAATATTTCGTGCTCGTACACTAATATTTTCCCCTCTTTTAAGTCATTTTTATTAATTATGTGAATTGACCTTGCAATTACCACTTACGTGGGGACTACTTTTTCAATTTTCCAAATGAAGGTTTTAGATTTTGTCAAAAGGTAGCTACTACTTTAAAAACTATGGTGTGATGTGTGCGATGAGTGAGAAAAATTTAAAGAAAAGTATTTTTAAAGATTATGTTTAAATTATAAATTTGTGAGAAGAAAATTGAGTAAAATAAGCTAAATTTACTTGTTTTGTTTCTCTTGATAAATTCACAATCTAAACATAAATTGTTAGCAACAATTTTAGCAAAGGCAATGTCCACTATCCATGGGTTTGTTTAGTACTTCCTTACTTTAGTGATTAATTGTGAATGCTTAAATTGTAACAATTATAATGTTAAGGATGCCTAATGAAAATATGAACCTTTTACCTTCATCCAAAAAAAAAAAAAAACATTATTATTATTTGCAGCAATTATTTTTTCATTAAAATTTAGTTTACAAGGTAAAATTTTAATTATACTAACCATGAACTATTTTTTATTTTGGGTAGTCTAAGAAGAGGTATAAGGTATTACTTAGAATTGCCAACTAGGATTTTTGACCCCAAATATATATATACACACATATATATATTTACATAAAACTCTTATATGGTGTTCACAAACTTAATTGAATCAACATCGATTTTCTCATCTCTGGACGTAGCTCAGTTGGTTAAAAGGAAGTCTCAAGTTGTTACTAACATAGCACTTAGCGTGGGTTCGATTCTCTTCTATTGCACAAATTCGAATTTAACTGGAACTTGTGTTGAGGCATCAGTACAAACTTTCAAGTTATAATCTCTAGTTCAGAACAATCAACATGACATCTTAGTGATCTTAACTCAGGTGATGCTTTCAACCTACAGAAGGATGTGAGGATTTTATTGTACCAAAACAAAAAAACAAAACACTTCAATTTTCTCGACCTTAGCTTAAAACTAAAAGGAAGTAATCATTTCAAAAAATTATTACACATCAATGAAAAAAAATTATAATTATAATCATTAATATTTATAATATTTATCACTTAATGGTAATTATTTTTTTGGACAGGGACTGATATGTTATTTCTTCAAAACTAAATAAGTTAAAAAATATAAGTCAAACTCATTCATTTAACAAATAAATCCAATTTAAACAAGATTTAAATGAGCTAACTTAAACTATTCATAAATAACCCAATTTATTTGCAAGGGTATTGTCAGTGCGCCTCATGTAAATTATGACATTTATGAACTTGATCATGTAGTAGTTATAACTAAAAATAAATAAATTATAATTAAACATTACATAAAATATAACTAAAAAATTATTAGATCATAATCAAAATAATATTAATCAATATTATGATAAGTCATAACTAATACAATAATAACTCATAATAAAAAATTACAAATATTATAACTAAGATACATATATGATTTTACACCCCAAAAAATTACGGAGAAATTGCAATTCAAAGCATGTTTTCAAAACAAATTCCAAATCAATGATGAAATTTATCAAATTTAATAATTAAAGTGACAATTTTTTTCATGACTTTACAAATTTTTTTTTTGGGTTTTACAAGTCACAGCTGATTTGAAATGTCGCCAAGAATTTTCTTATTTGCAATGGTAATTGTAGTTTGATTTAGCGATCCACTAATAGTTAAAAAGTCAAAAAATTATTAAAAAAATTAAAAAGTTAAAGAATTATATAAAAAAATTCAAAAATTTTATTTTTTCTATTTTTTTTACATATTTTTTAAAAGTAAAAAAAAATTTAAAATATTTTAATTAAAAAATTACTAAAATAACTTATTTTCAAACTAGCGTATTCAAAATTTATTTATGAGGTATGCCATGATTTTTTTTTTTTTTTTTAACTGAGGTATGCCATGATTTCAGTTGGAATTTTAGGTCATAAAAGAAAGTTAATAAAAAAAGTCCCAACTTTTAAATAAATTAAGTTTATGCACCCATTTGAAACCCAATCTTTCAAATATCACCCCCGAGAGAGACGCAAACAACTGAAATACCCTACTATTTATTTCCCTCGTTCCATTGGGCCGTTCCGTCTGTTATCTATCTCTCTCTCTGATTGTCACCATTAAAGCAGCTCAACTAAACCTTCAGCAAAAGTCAATAGCGCCAAACCCATGAAGTAGACAAATTCAATATTTTAAATTTAAGATGAAAAAGATGGCTGCTTCCATAATCGTCATTTTTTCTCTTCTCAGCACTAGTAATGTCGACCCAGTCAAATACATACCTTCCTTCTCTCTCTTCTTATTCTTCTTGTTCTTATCCTCCCTGAAACAACAAGCTCACCAAACCCAGACCCATCTTCCTCCATCTCCTCAAGGTTTCCTTCTTTTTCCATCACTGGGATATATATATATATATATATATTTTCAGAGATTCTTATTGTTTAAAATGATTGAGAATTGAGTCCTTGATCTGGGTTTCTTTAGTTTATGTAAAACTGTGGTTTGAATTTGTGTTTGGTTATTTTTATTGGTCATATCAGGTCCAGGATTTGGGTAATTCAGATATTTAGAGATTTGGGGTGTAAGATTTGTTGGAGACTTGTAGCCAATTCTGGGTTATTGAGATGTTTTGTTCAAGGACTTGGTTGTTTGGAGCTGCCCTTTTTGTGTGGCTGTGTTGCTCTTGTATGCTTAATGGAGCAGATGGCCAGAATATTACAGACCCAACAGAAGGTAACACTTGAATTAGCTTTTGTTAATTTATATGTTCTTATGATTTGCCTTGTTTTTCACCCATTTGAGTTGTATTGGTATATATGATGGCAATCTAGGCTTCTATTCTTGAGTCTTGTTTTACTTGTAAAATCATAGAGAAGCTTGTTAGAAATTTGGGAATTACATATATAAGCGAATTTAATTCGTAGTTTCAAAGTTCCCATTAATTTACAGGGACAGATGTCATTAAAGTTCACCATATGCAACGCAAGTGAGTTTCTTTTTTCATTTTTTGTTATCATTTGACAAGAACAGTGCATCGAAGAAAAATTCAATTCATACAAAAAGACTGGAATTGTTTTCATTTGAACTACAAGTCTTGTTTAACTACTCATATGGAACAGTAGAATCTTGCAAATTTGATATAGCTAAATTTCTAGGAACTTATTGCTGGAATACCAAAATAAAGTGTCTTTGCTCTATCAACACCACCACCAACGCAAATAAGGCGTAAAATTTGTGAAGAAAAACTTTTAATGAGATTAATAAGTTGCGGTGTGCTGGGCAAGAATTTCCCATTTGATGGCTCTTACAGATTTCAGTGTGAGCTCAATTTTGTCTTGATGAAAGAAGAGAGTAGGCTAATCAAGCCAGGGAACCTTTTTCTCGAGATGGATAGGTGCCTTATCTCTTTGGATGACCAATCAGAGTATGGTTTTCCTTGAAACTGGACGATCTAAGGGTGAATCTACTTGGAAGAGATATGACGGTTTTGAATAGTGCCAACATTTTGTCAGGGCTTCTGAAACAGCCCCTCTATCTAAAAAAAATTATTGTCAAAAAGAACTCTCTTCTAAGAACCCTTAACATGCTAGCATATCACGTAACTAAAGAGATATTGCGCCATGCATTGATTGTAATGTATTTGACCTTATATACTGAAGTGTAGTTTCTTGCTTGATTTTTGGCAGACAACTTGGATAAAGGATCTATGTGTTGTGTGCTAGCCCTAGGATATCATTTCTACATGTAGATCCAATTAATGCATATAAACTTTAAAGTAATGGCCTCAATCCTTAAGCAATTAAGCAGTGTTTGTTTGTTAATTTGTATGATTTTCTCAGTTTATATGCTTGTAGAACTGGGAATTACTTGTCAAAAGACTTTGGAAATAATTTGTTCTGATTAAAATACAGACAACTTAGGCCTCGTTTGGGAACAGGCTAATTCCCCCCCCCCTTTTTTTTTAAAGAAAAAAATTAATAAATTCTAGTCCATGAGCAAAGTAGAATGGCAACAACTAGTGAAGTGTGTAGAAAATTTGCTTATAATTTCTTTTTGATAGATGTAGATGTTTAATTGATCATGCTGATGAAATAATGATGACCTTTTCTAATAATTGCAGTTACAGCATTGGGTGCCATTAGGAGCAGTTTGATTGATCCAAATGGGAATCTCAGTGACTGGAATCGTGGAGATCCATGTACGTCGAATTGGACAGGGGTTTTGTGCTACAACACTACTATGCGGGATGGCTATCTACACGTCAGAGAATTGTATGATTTCAGTCTTTTCCTAATTTTTGTTCCTTTATCAGATCATCATGAACATGATTTTTGTGAACCACGGTTAAGATGGAAGTAAAAATTCCTGGTTAACATGGGCGCATTCATCAATGCAGATATCAAATATTATAAGGATCTTCCATCTTAAGCCAGAATTAGTATTTAAGTTGTTTTGTAGTAAATTTATTGCTTACTGATCAAAGAGAAAAGATGTGATGGTTAATTAATTATTTAACAGCAACTGTGTTGCCTAGAAATTATGTGGCTGGATAATGTTGCTGAATGATGTATGCCAAATTATGTGACTAGAAGTTTCTCTTTTACCTCTCTTTGTGCTAAATACTAAATTCGGCACTTAGCTTTTGCCTGCATTTGCTATATAACAAGGTTACACAAACTGCAAAGCACACTTCACAAAAAAAAAATAATGTTGCCTAAAATATTCTAAAATGGAATTCTTGAAAGATCATCTTATTAGATTACGAAATTCTAAATTACAGAACACTGTTAAAATGTATATAACAAACACCTTGCAACAGAAGTTACTAAATTTGCTAGATATATGGTTCATTATATATATATATTACTGCATGAACTAAGGGTTCAAAATAACATAATAAACGATGTAAAAACTATATCTGGTGTTTAAGCCTGTTGTAGCAATACATAAAGGTAGAAAATAGTTTCTCTACCCTACACTAAAAACTGGGTGGGCTTTATATTTTCCTTTGCAGGCAACTACTGACTATGAATCTATCAGGAAGTTTATCTCCCGAGCTTGGCCGCTTGTCTCATATGCAGATATTGTGAGTCAGAATATCTTTGTTCAAAATGTCTACTATTTAAGCTGTAACTTGGTGCCTCTGTCTCTATTGATTCTCCTTAGGTATTTAAGTTTTTTTTCCCATACAGGTGGATTTTTAGTTTTCTTTTGTCAACTGATATTTATTCTTATCTTTTGTTCTTAAAGGGATGTTATGTGGAATCAGATAAGTGGGAGTATACCGAAGGAGGTTGGCAATATTACATCTTTAGAACTCTTGTAAGTTGGTTACATGTTCCTGTTAAATGTGATATGGACATAGACATCAGTCTATTTCTTGCTTGTATTTGAGTAGTGCAAAATTGCACCATATTTTTTGATGTTCCTTATTTTGTATGTGATCTTCTGTTTTTCAGGCTCTTGAATGGAAATCAACTCACCGGTCCCTTGCCTGACGAGATTGGTAATCTTCCTAAGTTAGACAGAATTCAGATTGACCAGAACCAAATATCTGGACCAATACCTAAATCATTTGCGAAATTGAACAAAACAAAGCACTTGTAAGTGTTTCTTTGTGATGCTATCTAGCTTAGATATGATATCTGCTGGTCAACTATGTAGCTGCTCTTTATCTTTAGTCCCTCTGATTTATTATTATCATTATTGTTGTTAATGTTGCTGTTGTAATTACTATCATTTTGATTGATATTTTTACTGTTACTTTGTTCTCTGAGCAGCCACATGAACAATAATTCACTTAGTGGGCAAATCCCTCCTGAACTGTCTGCGCTGCCAAATCTTGTTCACATGTAAGTGGGTATTTCTTTTTCTTTTTTCTTTTTTCAACTTTTAATGTGGTATAATGGTATTGGGGTTCTTATATTTTGGACATTTGGCTTGTCTGAATGATGTAAAATTCTGCAGGTTACTTGACAATAATAATTTATCAGGGTATCTTCCGCCAGAGCTCGCCAATCTGCCTAGTCTACTGATACTGTACGTTTTCTGCTTCTGCAGTTATTAGAATACAAGATCACTCTATTAGTTTCCTCATAAATGAATACAAGGTTGAGTACATTATTTGTTGTATGTGTTATACATCAAGAGCAGAGACCCCAATTAGCTGGGATATCTGGGATCTGAGGCTTTGTTGAGTTGGTGTGCACAATGCATCCGTAAAGAAGAATATATATATATATACACGTGAATGTGTATGGGTGTAAAAATAACATGTCACCCTCCATGAAGATTATCTCTGTAATATTGCTTTTGATTTTTTCTTCATTATGTTAATGAGGAAACCATGTTTACCCTATTGAAGGAGCACAAAGTATCTTGTGTTTAATGTCTCATAAATTTTCTTCTTTTTTCATTTGGCAGTCAACTGGACAACAACCACTTTGATGGGGCTACAATACCAGACTCTTATGGCAGCATGTCTCGATTGTTGAAGCTGTAAGTGCATATGCTTTTTATATGATTTTGTAAGTAAATAGAAAATGTTTAAGCTTGAGGCAAGGTGTCATGTTATCTATTCTGTTTCTGCATGAGATGTAAGCCAAGAGGCATGATGCTTTAGCTTCATAATGCCTCTTCTTCTTTTTTTCTTCTTTGATTTAAATAAAAAATTAAGCTACATTTAGAGGAGAGAGAGTGTTCATGACACGTCAACTGTCTATTGACTACCTTTCTCTTCCTTGAAGCTTTATGCTCTTTTCTTATGAGATTGAGAAACATGCATATGCATATGTTTCAGATGCTTCTTGAGATTGCTTATGAATCAGTATTCTTGGCTGTATCAGGAGTCTTAGGAACTGTAGCTTGCAAGGACCAATCCCTGACCTGAGCAGGATACCGCACCTCGCTTATATGTAAGTTCATGAGTAGCTATCAGATATTATGGCACTAATTACTTGCCAATTGGCCACTCCAGACATTTTACGCATCTTTGAAAAATCATTTTGTGTCTTATATAGTTAAAAGCCTCCATGTTGGAGATGCTAGATAAACCATGCTAAAAAACTTTTTTTGGTGTCAAGATTTGGAGACACTTCGGCTAGTCACTAATTTCTTTGTTATATATGCTTTATATATCTGATTGTATTAGCCATAATGACGACCTTCACATTTCAGCGACCTCAGTTTGAACCAGCTTAATGGATCCATACCACCATATAAGCTTTCCGAGAATATGACAACTATGTAAGATACTCCATCTTTAACATTTAAGTCCTAAAGTAATTCTATTTCTATATTGTATATAGGATATAATCAGAGAAGTATACTGTATCCTTGAAAATTCTAGTTATCCATGAGACTAACAATTTACTTTTGAACCAATCATCGATAAAAAATGTGCAGTGATTTATCAGGCAACAATCTTACTGGACCTATTCCGGCCAACTTTTCGGGCCTTCCTCTACTTCAGACATTGTGAGCATTTTTCAACCCTTCTTTTCTCCCCTTTTCCATATAATTTGCATGGTTGTGTAAATGGTAATGTTTGAAGACAATTTAAATTTTTATTCATTTGAATTAAGTCTGCACTTACTTTCCTTTGTGTTCCATAAGATTTAGGGTTACCAATGCCTATTATTTTAATTATGTGATGAAATGATTGAGTTTATTTTGTGTGTCATTCCCATTGCAGGTCACTTTTGAACAATTCACTTAGTGGTTCTGTTCCAGCCAGTATCTGGCAAAATTGGACTTCCAATGGAAATAAAAGTCTCATCGTGTAAGTCCTATAAGACCCAAAACAAAGAATTCAATCATTTTACAAAGTTTATGCCTCCTTCCCTCTTTGTTTACGCTTGTGTGTGTGATTCGTTGCAAGTTTAAACATGCTCTTCTTGAGATCTAACCTGTTACTTTCTTTCTTTCTTAGACTTCGATGTGTTTTAGGTGAGATTAATTGATATTAATTTTTCTGCAAGGTTTTATGCTCTTTGATCCTGCAGGGATTTGCAGAACAGTGTGTGTGAGAGTGTGTTCTAGTATGCAATACTTCTTTTGCTAATCTTAAAGTTAATGATTCTTTGCAAGCTCACCTTGCTCTTTTTAAGTTTCAAACTGTAACTTTCTTAATTAGACTCTAGTAGGGTTGGTGTAAAGTTGGTTGATATTGCTTAGTGCTATATTCTCAGCGATACTTGTTTTGCTCACAAAAAAGTTGAAGAATTGTTGCAAGTTTTTGCTTGTTCTTTTTGAGATATTGGTTATAACTTTTTTTTGTTAACTCTGATAGGTTTTAGATGTGAAGTTGGTTGATATTGCTTTATATTACTATTATTAGTTTTAAATACTTTATGATCTTTGATCTGCAGGGATTTGCAGAACAATATGCTTTCAAATATTTCTGGCAGTGTTAGCGTCCCTGCAAATGTCACTGTTAGGTTTGTTTTCCATCTTCATCCATAATGAAATATCTTTATATGCACGTGTTTCCTTGGTAAAAATCTAAAATTTTACTTTTTAGATTCAGTAAAGTAAGATAAAGACCTGTTTAGCAGGTTCAAAGAGTAATCAAATTCCTCTTCTATTATTCGTTTGAAAATTTTGCAGGCTTCAAGGAAATCCAATATGCTCGAATACCAACCTGGTCCAGTTCTGTGGACCTCTTCAGAATGAAACCGTCAGTCATACCCCAAGCGCAACAAACTCTAGTGATAATTGTCCGGTGCAATCATGCCCTTATGAATATTCCCCAAACTCTCCTGTACCATGCTTCTGTGCTGCGCCTCTGATCGTTGGATATCGGTTGAAAAGTCCTGGATTCAGAGATTTTGTGCCATACTGGGTTCCATTTGAGGTGTACCTCACAACAGGTCTTGAGTTGAACGTTTTTCAGCTTGAGATTGTTTCTGTTTTTTGGGAAGAAGGCCCTCGACTGAGAATGGACTTGAAGATTTTTCCTGTATACGTTAACACCACCTCTTCTTATGTCTTCAATAGGACCGAGGTTCAACGAATCCGGAGCATGTTCACAGGATGGCATATTCCTGATAGTGATATTTTTGGACCTTATGAACTTATTGATTTCCCTCTGTGGGGCCCTTATAAAGACGGTTTGTCTCCTAAACCTTATCTGACAAATGTTTTTGTTTCTTGTTTTTTAGCAATCTGTCAGCAGCTCCTCGCACCTTTGACCAGAGGTTCAAAGAGTCATGCTCAAGACCAACAGGCTCGAGGAGGCCTTATCTGACATGTTTTGTTCAGGAATATCATGAAATAGATATAGTGATCTTATTAGTTATGGCCTTTGTATATCTTTCATTGTGAGAAGGTTGTCACATTTTTTTGGGGCTCTAGTTGAAAATATGGGTAACTAGTTTACCCTCCATGTGTACACTAGTGATGTTTACCCCTGGTGTGGCAGTAAGAATGGTTTGCATACTATAAAAAAATAAATAAATGAATAAAAAAATTAGCTAATGCTCCTATTAGCTTAATAAAAATAATAAAATTAGCTAATGCTCCTATTAGCTGGAACTGTAGTGGATGATGCTTGGATCATGGTGTTGGATGGTGTATCGGTGGGGGTGTTACATTGATCTTAAAGTCGGCCACAAATAGAGACCTATGCCATTTTAAACAACGGAGTGCATAGTCATGCTTTCCAATTTTTGCATGCATTCAAGGATGGATTGAATTGGTTTGTGCTTATTACTTTTATTTCTATTGCAGTGATCCCTTCTTCCACTTCAAAATCTGGAATTAGCAAGGGGGCACTAGCTGGCATTGTAGTAGGAACAGTTGCAGGTGCACTTATATTATCTGCTGTTGTGTCACTTCTCATATGGAGATTGCATATGAATAAATACACCGCAGTTTCAAAAAGACGTCGATGTGAGTATCTTATAATTACCAATATCTGAGGTGGAACTAAATTTATCATGATTCTCCATTGTTTTGTCCCTACTTTTTGTAGTTGACCACAAGTATTTCAAAATGTTGGCAATTTTGATAAATATTCTAATTATTGATTCTATTAAAAAAATATAAAATACTCAATCATTGGCTGCTTTAAACCGAGGTGGCTATTTGATATTTTTTCAGAGTTCTTGTTTCAATATATATCACGATAGCTTTCGTAGATGAACAGGAAGCTGCCAGTTTTGAAATTTCAGCTGTTCTATGGATACATGAAAGTGATGTATACGCATATTATCCCTCTGGAATTACCCTTCCAACTTATCAAAATAGCATGCTTGATTTTTGTTGAGATTAAATCTTCAAAAAATAGTTTTATAATGGGCAAACTTACGTAAGCACTTGTTCAGCTAGCTTGGCAAGGATTTAAAATTACCATGATTTACCATGGGCCTTGTGGGCTTGTAGAATGCATTCACCTTCCAAGACCAATGTAAGGGCACAAGTGACCGCAGAGGTTGGGAATGTCAACAATAAACATTTTGTATTAGCTCTCAAGGTAAAGATACAAGATTGCAGGAACAGTGAGACACTTGGATCCCTTGTTCAAATTTTGAGTTTTGTCCCCCCAAAAAAAAAAAAAAAAAATTATGAACTATACTTGATAAAGATTCTCTACATTGAGATGTAATTCATTGGTGAAGGATGGATTGAATTTCAATAATTAAGACATTGTTAACTTATGTCAACAATCAATGCTTAAAATAAAAATTTGCCTTTGTGTTATAATTATTAGATGTATCAGCTATGTGGTGGCAATAAGCTTTCGTAGCATGGATTTGGATCTGATGAATAACTGTTATTATCATATGTAACACTAGACCCACATCATATGTTTTGCAGTATCTAAGATCACTATCAAAATTGATGGTGTGAAAGATTTTTCTTATCAAGAGATGGCACTGGCGACTAACAATTTTGATGCCTCCAGTCAAGTTGGACAAGGTGGGTATGGGAAGGTCTACAAAGGTATTCTAGCTGACGGCACAGTTGTGGCCATAAAACGTGCACTAGAAGGGTCATTGCAGGGTGAGAAGGAGTTTCTCACTGAAATAGAACTATTGTCAAGGTTACATCATCGTAACCTGGTCTCTTTGCTTGGATACTGTGATGAGGAAGGCGAACAGGTACTTCACTACCTATTTGAATGTGTAAATTCTCTTACATTTCTGTTATGGTATATTTATCCGTCACTTTCATGTACTGTTTGGCTCATATTAATGTGCATCAGTGAACAATTGAGCAACATCCAATGAAAAATAGATTAATGTAAAAAAAAAATGCCAAGGATTACTTGCAAAAATGGAAGATGCAAAGTTATATTTTAGCTATTTTAAATAATGGTAGGGAAAAAAAAAAAAACAGAATGGTTCAACTCAAGTGGAGAAATGGTAATTTTGGTTCAGTTTGTTTCCAAGCTGAGTACAGAAGGGGGGATGGAAGCTTCTCTCTTGTAGCATGAAAGTTAGTTATCTCACATGATTACTCTTTTTTGGCATGTAGATGTTGGTTTACGAGTTCATGTCCAACGGCACACTGAGGGATCACTTATCTGGTATATTCTATAAACTTCTAAATTTGCTTCTTATTATTCTTACTCCCTCTGTCCCAAAATAACGGTCCTTTTTGGGGAATCCAACTTTTTTTGGTAGTACAATTATTGCACTTTAAAAAAGTTGATTTTCCAAAATTATCCTTTTGATAGTACATTTTTTGGGAATATCAATGTCATAATTGTACTTTTTATATTATTTATTAATTTAAAAAAAAAAGGGCAAAATAGGAAATTTATATTATTTTTGTAACTTGATTTTTGAAGAGGGACTAATATTTTGGGACAATGAAAAATAGAATAAGGGACTAATATTTTGGGATGGAGGGAGTACTTTTTTAATATGGGTATTCCGTGGCAACTCTGATTATTGTTTATTAATTTAAAAAAAAAGGGCAAAATAGGAAATTTATATTATTTTTGTAACTTGATTTTTGAAGAGGGACTAATATTTTGGGACAATGAAAAATAGAATAAGGGACTAATATTTTGGGATGGAGGGAGTACTTTTTTAATATGGGTATTCCGTGGCAACTCTGATTGGGAATCAGTATTAACCAAGAGTATAATTTCAGTCAATGTACATGTTAATTACTCAGTGATTGAATATATGTTTAATATTTATGGTGCCCCAGGTGCGGCTAAAGAGCCTCCGGGTTTTGCTATGAGATTGAGAATTGCACTAGGTTCATCTAAGGGCATCCTTTATCTGCATACGGAAGCTGATCCTCCGATATTCCATCGAGATGTCAAGGCCAGCAACATATTGTTGGATTCTAAATTTACTGCAAAAGTTGCTGATTTTGGACTTTCCCGACTTGCCCCGGTTCCTGATATTGAGGGAATGACACCTGGTCATGTATCGACTGTTGTTAAGGGGACACCAGTAAGCTCGAGTCTTTTAGATGACATCTCTTCACAGAATATTGAAGCAGGAATTTTTTACCTGAATTCAAAATAAGAAAAAAAAAATATATATATATATATATATATAAAATCTTATGTTGTTGGTATGCCATTTATGCAGCCTGATATCTTAGAACCATCCTAAAAGATAAAATAGTTAATACTGGTTAAAATTGTTGGTATGTGAAACTTGATCGTAAGACGGAGTGAGCGTTGTATGCATTTTATTGGCAAGGCTACTTAGAATCTTTTTTAACATTAAGAATTTAGTGATTCTAGAGTGAAACTGAAACAGCATTTTTCGTGCAGGGATACCTTGATCCAGAGTACTTCCTCACTCATAAACTGACCGACAAAAGTGATGTTTATAGTCTTGGTGTTGTATTTCTAGAGCTCTTGACAGGAATGCATCCAATCTCACATGGCAAAAACATTGTTCGAGAGGTGAATTCCTCACAACTTCTCTCTTCCGAAAGTAGTGTATATGAATGCATATCATATTTTTTAGTGACACATATTGCCTGGGACACATCTCACTGTTCAAATCTCTCCATTCGCTTCGACTTTCACTTATAAATTTGTAGATGAAAGATTATCCCAAGTTCAGAAAACAAATATTGCATTGGGTGATTAAAAACAAAAGAAAAAACCCATGTTGCATAGCTCACTGCCTGTTGCAATTTCATATGCATTAATTGTTGTGTTTTATGTCTACTTTTCCCTACTGTATCAGGTAAACGTGGCATATCGATCTGGAATGATCTTCTCAGTCATTGACGAAAAAATGGGATCTTATCCTTCTGATTGTGTGGAGAGGTTTGTGAACTTAGCTCTCAAATGTTGTCAAGACGAAACAGATAACCGGCCTTCAATGTCAGAGGTGGTTAGAGAACTCGAAAGCATATGGCTTATGATGCCAGAGTCAGACACCAAAACATCAGAATCTTTGATTGCCAACCCTGGGAAGGATGTGACTCCACCATCTTCATCGTCTGATTTGAAGAATCATGCTCCTTATGTATCAGGAGACATCTCTGGCAGTGACCTTATTAGTGGAGTCGTTCCCACCATTACGCCTAGATAAGAAATGCTATAGTTCTTGTTGCCCTTGGGATGGATACGCGATGGATACTGGTTTCGATGATGCTTCTTCTATTGGGGGAGAAATTGTGAGTGAAGGAGGAATTAGGAGGGGTTTTGACTTGTGTATAGTACACATTATTGTTTTCCATTTGATTTTGTAAAAAGTGTAATAGGTTGGTCATTTCATGTTTGTTGGTAATAGTTTTGTTTAAAATCGATTGAATTCCTTGAATATTTTGCAATGTAGCTCTTCATTTCTACTGATTACTGTACGTTTAGGATATTATTCTAAAAGGTTTGATGCCAAAATTTTCCAATTCTTATTATTTTTTCGAGATATTTTAAAGAATTTCATGTCCATGCCTTATTGCTATATTTATTTTAATCCCAGGAGACAGATTGTAGCATTAACAATATGATGCCGTGGCTCACTGTCCGTTCTCTTCTTTTTTTCCTTTTTTCTTTTTTTCTTCTTGTTTTCAGATTTTGATAATATGTTGGACTGTATCTGGTTGTTGGCTCAACTGCTACCCAAGGATTTGTGAGGGACTTTTCTTTCTTTTTCTTTTTGTGGTAAAAAAAACCCCCTTAAAACAGCCCAGACCAGACTCATCTATCCATTTTTAACTGTTATTATTTATAAACTAGTGAGTGACCATGCAATGTTACGGAAATTTATTTTTGAAATAAAAAATTAATTTTGAGTTTTAATATTTTATGTATAAAAAATTTTAACAATTGAAAGTTAAATACAAACAAATTTGTTAATTGTTAATAAAATTTTTTGTCACCATGCGCGTAATCCTTTATAAAAAGATCAAAAAAATAATTTCTTTCAAAATTAAAAAAAAGAGTATATTTTCAACTTGAAATCAAATTTTCATTTGTATTAATCAAATTTATCAAAAATCATGAATTTTGATTATACCAAAATATTTTTTTCTGAAAAAAAAAACAGAAAGTTCTATAATATACAAATTATAACTTGGTTACAACTCCTAAGTATTATTTTGGTTATTAATCAAAAAATTCTTTACTAATTTTTTATTATATCTAAAGTGATGCAACGGTCTTAGTTATGTTTTAAGTGGTATTTGATTATGACCTACTATACGACAACTTTGATTAGATATAAGAATTATTCAATAAATCAGATTGCTTAGTAATACACGTAATTTACCACGTGAATCAATCAACTACCTGGTCATTCAAATTTGTACTGTGTTTTCGTTGATAAATAAGGTTTTATCTTTTACCGGTTCTTAAGGATCCCTCTAATTTAGAACCAAAATATAATAAAAAATTAAAGTAATGAAAAGTGAAGTAAAAAATAAAAATAAAAAAGAAGAAGAAGAAGCAGCTAGAATGAAAGTTCATATTTCCAGTATGCCTTTGATTAAGATAAAAAAAAATTAAATAACAATTATTACAATTAATAGCTTTCATGACATTTTTTTTAAATAATCAAATGTCCAATCATTTTTTAATTCCAAATGACAAGTTTCGGGTCTAAAGTCCATAGTTCAAATGGCAAGTTATTATTATTAATTGTATATACATATGTAAAGTGTAAGGGTGGGCAACGGTTTATCTGAACCGTTCAAATTGTCCAACCCGCATATAAATAGGCGGTCTCGTAAATATAATTCGGGCGGATGCAGTTTGAAATATGACAAATTTGTGGATTGCGGGGGGTCACGGATTAAACCCGCAAAAACCGCCCGCACTTTAATTATTATTATTTTTTATATACCAACTTTGTAACTTTAACATGAGCACCATTATGTTCTCTATGACACTAGGATCCTTATTTTTAAGTATTTCTCAACTTTCTTAAGGCCGTAGAATTATCAAGTCCTAGACTTGGTTTCTTATATGATTTTCATTGGTGACTCATCCACTTTTTTCTAATAAAATTTTCCTTCTGGTGATCGATGGAACTTCTAGCTTGATTATTATTACTGAACTGGCAGTTCTAATAAAGTTTGGAAACTCTCTCTCTAAAATGAGAGCTTCTCTCTCTTTGATGAGAGTCTTTCTAACCTAGGGCTTCTTGTGGGTTTCCCTATTTTTTTCTCCATAGCCTCCCCTTCTCTCCCTCTCCCTTTCCTCCTTCCTCCCTAGCCCTTTCCTGATTGTCCCCATTCATTATCTCTCACCATTTACCAACCTGAAATCCAAACTTTGCTATCCCCTCCACCGCAATCCTCTCCCTTCTTATTTCTGCCTATGGCTTCCTCCTCCAACAGCCCTGTTTCGGAAAAGCTCGAGCTATTCGATAGTCCAAACGAAGCTGAAGATGCATCAAGCCTATGCTTATTGGGGAAAGTCTTAACCCCCAAGTCTCTGAACAACAATGCCATCTCCTCTATTATCAAAGGGGCTTGGCGAGTCAGAGGAGAGCTATCCATCTCACCTTGGAACGTGAATACCTTCATTTTTCAGTTTTCAGAGGAAAAAGATCGCAATCGCATCCTCAGAGACCATCCATGGTCGATTATGGGCCTCTCTTGGTCTTTCAAACCCTCTCTCCCAATCAAACCTTTGAAGCAGTGGATTTCACCTGGTGCCCTTTCTGGGTTCAAGCCCATGGGTTACCTATCCAGAATATGACCAAACAGAATGGACACATTATTGGTAATCGGCTCAGGAAAGTCATTAGCGTGGAAGCCCCTCAGGAAGGCCTCCTGCTCTACCGCAGTTTTTTACGTATTAGAGTGGAAATCAACACCCAACAGCCTCTTCCTCGAGGTTTGTGGCTCAAACGTTCCCTTGGCAGTAATGGGGTCTAGATTACCTTCAAATATGAGAAACTGTCAGATTTTTGCTATGATTGTGGGCGTATTGGTCACGAGAACAAGAGTTGCAAGTTTGTTTCTAAAGAAGTTCACAGCAAATCGGGGTATGGGCCTGACCTTCGCACTGGGGTGCCCAGAACTACTGCTCCTCACTGAATTTTGCAAAACCAGTGGGTGTATCGTCGGATAACAGCCAACGGCCAAACAACGGCAACTCACCGACGGCCTCCTTAGTTACGCATGGCTTGGGGGTACAAATCCATAGCACTACGGCTGAACCTCCTCAGTACAGTCCCCCTCCACTCCCAGAGTCGTGCGCACACACTCCTGCTCCTCCTCAGATTGCACCATGTGGCATGAGAAATTCTCACCCACGTGGCCCCCAACCAGAGGTAGCGTTTACTTTTACTCCTACCCAGATAGAGGCCCCTTCTAGTCAGTCTCTCATTAAGCCCATCTTCACTCCTCAACCTTCCCTTCAGCCTTTTGGCCCAACCACAAGGGCAGGCCTTTTGCCAGATGCAAACACTAAGCCCAAATATTTTGTGACTAAGCCACCCGATAGTCCCAATACACCAAACAGCCCAAAAGAGTTTGAACCTCCTATCCCTGCTACGGATTTGGGCCTTACTGATGCAATTACCATACTACAATCTCCTGGCCCAATTCTCCCACCCCTGGACCCCTCCTATGCTCTGGACTTATGTCTCTCCAAAGCCATCAATACTCTTTCTCTAAAGAGAAAAGCTACTGCCGATGACCTCTCTCTAAACCTTCCCCTAAAGCTCCTCAAAACTACAGAGACCAAGCCATCGAAGTAACTACCAAGTCTACACTCCTCCACTTCTTCACAGAGGGGACACCCAAAACGCCCAATTAGCACCCCAGGCAGGAAATTGGTTAGGAGGCGGGTCCGGGCTTCCTTGGCAACTCCAGAATTGGATTATGGAGCAAGTGAGCTGGTGGACATCAATGTTCAAAATGAGGAAGGCAGAGGCGAAGGGCACTCTTTGGTACCCATTGAGGTCAGTCCATTTACATATGATTCTGATTTTTGTGAATCCTAAGTCCCTAGCACTTTCCCAGTCTCTGATTCCTTTGCTCAAGAGGCGGTGGCTGGCCCTAAACAGCCACACAAGCCATGTTGATTCTGAGCTAGAATTGTCAGGGGATTGGGCGACCCCTGACTTTCTAGATCCTCCGAGGGTTATGTAATACCCCATCGCCCTACAATAATTTTCCTCATGGAAACAAAAAATAAGCGTTTTAAGCTGGAAGGTATCAGACGGAGGCTTCATTTTCCCAATCATTGCTATGTTGATCCTGTTGGTTTATCTGGTGGTTTAGCTCTCTGGTGGTCAGACGAGGTTACTCTTCAAGTTCGCCATAAATCTCCCAACATCTTTAGATGCATCATCTCCAAAGGGGCAAATTCTGAAGATTGGCTTACAACCTTTGTCTATGCTCCTCCTAGATGGCCGGATCGCCAAGCCTTTTGGAAATATCTTAAAAAGATTGCGTTGGAGAACATATACCCCTGGCTCTGCATTGGTGACCTTAATGAAGTGGCCATGTCATGGGAAAAACAAGGTTCAGTTGCTTGTAACAAGTTCAGAATGGAACAATTCCAGGATCTCTTAGCAGAATGTGAATTCATGGACCTTGAATTTAAAGGGGCCCCGTATACATGGACTAATAATCAACAAGGGGTGTGTCACTTGAGGGAAAGATTGGATAAAGCCTTTGCAACAGTCGATTGGCGCCTTTTGTTCCCCTTTGCCCAACTCCACTATGAAGCTTTTGTGGGATCAGATCACTGGCCGGTACTCCTTCATTGCACAATCCCACCAAAAAAGGTTCCCCACCAATTTAAATTCGAATCCATGTGGACAACAAAACCAGACTGTGCTGAGATCATTGCGTTTAATTGGCGGAAACAACATTCAGGCTCTCCTATGCATCAGCTTACACAGAAACTAGCTTCTTGTAAGCGGGGCCTTACAATCTGGAGCCAAGAAGCCTTTGGTAATAATAGGCTCAAGTTGAGTGACTTACGGGCAAAAGTACTTCACTATCAGTCTCTCCCCTACTTGTTGGAAAATGGATCTCAGATTCGTCTAATCTAATCAGAGATAGAGGCTACTTTACTTGATGAAGAGATGTATCAACATCAGCATTCCCGAATTAACTGGCTCAGTTATGGCGATCGGAATTCGGCCTTTTTTCATGCAACAGTGGCCCAACGTCGACAGAGGAATCAATTGGTCAAAATCCAGAATAGAAGTGGAGTCCGATTAGAGACGGATCATGAGATTAACCGACATCTCCATAGTTATTTCTTTATTTTATTCCAAGCTAAGGACCCTAGACACTTTGAGGAGGCACTTTAAGTGGTCAACCATATGGTTTGTTCGGAAATGAATGATGCTCTACTGAGGCCAGTCACGGATGATGAGATTAAATGTGCTACCTTTCAGCTAGGATCTCTAAAGGCCCCGGGACCTGATGGTTTCCCTGGGCTCTTTTATCAGAAACACTG